CGCAGTTCCGGTGACGCCGCCACCTGCAACTCAGCAAACAATGCTTCCTCCTCCTGCAACTCTGCAGCAGACAGCACTTTTTACTTGGGAAGTCCAGATGTCCGGTTTGTGAACTCGGTCATTTGAGATCAGATCTGAGAGGATTGTTTGCAGGGGCTCAAACTTGCATTGTTTTGTCGTGCTGAGCCACACTCAAAATCCGGGGGTAGCGGACAGTTTTAAATCAGGTTCTGTCACTCTTCCGATTTCTGCATATGGGCCGTATCGTGGGTAGACCTCTTTCAGGCGTTGATTAGCACTGAAAAATCACAGTTTCTTTACGTGTAGATTGAATCAGGGTTCCATTGTTTGGTTTTCCCAAAGGCTCAATCTGAGAGGTTCCACGTTTGGGTTTAAATCCATGAGCTCAAACGGATGCCTTCAATTGAACTTGAGAGGGACCAGCAAGGCCATATCCTCCAAAGAAAGAACACTTAAAGTTTGTATCCAAACCGGGCCCCTTTTGGTATGCGTTTAGGAAATGGACCGGCTCCTGATTCAAATTCACCTTCGCGCAAGGTCTCTCGCGCAGATTTGCAGGCCCGCAGGGGGGGGGGGGAAGGGGGGGCAGTTTGCCTCGGTCGAAGAGGATTGCCTGAGCGCCCAATCAAGCAAATTTTCGGGTAGGCACAGTCTCCTTGCCAATACACGGGTTTTCGATGAACCACCTTGATACCAGGTCCCACGGAGCGCTTTCCTTTTTCGATGCCAGGAGAGCGAAGAGGCGGGCGCCGGCTCGCCGCTGCCGACTCCCGCCTTTGCGCCCGCCGTTGCGCCGGCGCCGGCGCCGGCGCCGGCAGCGCCAGCAGCGCCGGAGGTGCCAAAAAATGTTTTTTTGGGCACGCCGAAAGCGGAATTCCCTGACTTTTGGGTTGGAGTTGGGGACCAAGCTATGCGTTGAACAAGGGGAGTTGGACCACTCCGCGCAAGCGAGGCGCAGGTCAGCTTGGCGGATTCGCTGGCCGCGGCCTTTGCTGGAGTCGGCCAGGGACCCTAGCTGCCTCGATGGGTCCATTTGGTTACCCGCAAGCCGGAGAAACCGAGGCCTTCTGGGGGATCTTGGGGTTTGCTCAGAAAATGGACTGTTTAAAGGTGGGAACTGCGTATGTGTCAAAATTGGGATGACCCCCAACATGGATGGGTTTTCCCACCGGGGTTCCTTTAAGCCTGAAAAGGGTACCGAGCCTAGCCACCCAGATTCGGTCGGTGGCAGCCTTGTACATTGACAACTCTGATCTTTTCAGTTGGATCACTGAAGATCACTGCCACGTCCTTGATTCATTCCTTTGGCTTTCCAAGTCCGGAATTGGTCACCAAACCAACCCCAAACGCCAGTCTTGCCAACCTCGAACCAAGCGTAAAGCCGACCACCCCTGACCACCCTCCTAAACCGACCCAAAGCCAACCCGAATCCGACCCTAAACCCGGCCTAAACCAACCCTAAACAAGCCCTAAAACGACCCTGAACCAACCCTAAACAAGCCCCACAACACCGCCAAACCAACCCTAAACCGACCTTACACCAACCCTAAAGCAACACTGAACCAGCCCTAGGCCACAAGCCACCCGAAATCACCCTAAAGCAACCCTAGACCAAAGGAACGGTGGTAACAAATCCCAGTTGGGATAGAACAAAATTCCTCGGCAAGAGGCCCAGCCCGTTTAGGGTTCACACAGCACTCTTTCGGACAAAACATGATGAGTCTCTGTGTGAAGTTTAAAGGGGACCTGTCAGGACAAAACATGGGGATGAGTCTGTTGGGTTTGATGTTTAAAGGGGACCTGTCAGGAACGGTGAATGATTTAATTCCGGGAAAATTAATGAAACAAGTTGCAAAATATTGGAGTCATATTGAGATGAGTCATAAAATATGTCCAGATGTCCCGTTCTCTGCAACACGGGGAGGGGTCCAGAGCGCCGAGGCGCCGCTGAGCCGCAGGCAGAGGTCGGAGGGCTCAGGGTTGAGCTGAGGCTGGCTGGACTGTTTCGGGAGGCGGCCAAGTGGCTGTGGTTCTCAAAAATCGGGAAACCCCAAAATGGGTTGCCCTGGTAAATGGGAAGATGGACTAAAATCTGCGGTCCGATTCCTGGTGGTTTAATTTTGACCCATGCCCAAGTGTCTCAGTCAAGCCTTCCGATGATTCTTGCCATGCCCTCCAACCAGAATCTTGTCAGCTGGTGACTCCTATTTTTTCCCGTGCCCTTCGGACCAACAAGAATCTGGTCAGCTGGTAATTCTTAGGTTTGTGAAGTTAGGGAGCTGGGAGCTCAGCACAAGCCAGAGGGGCTCACCCGTTGCTCATAGCATCGGCTCAAAAGATGAATCAAGCACCATGAACAGACCGATCAAGATACAGGATGGAAACAGTGGTTGACTGCGATGCAGTTCGCTCAAGCGAGCAAGTAGCCTCGCTTAAGCTGTCAAACCAAGAAGTATCAAAGTACGTCAAAAGCAGTTCATAGCAGTGACATTTGTCACATAGCTAGAAGGTCTTCATGACCCGAGGGGACGATGACCAGCCATGACGCCTTGCTAGATGTATCCTGGGCAGCTGTGTGGATCGTGGAAGCGGGGGGGCCTATTGTGCATAGATCCGAAGAGTTCCTATTGCCAAGCGGCTCCTGCGAAGGGGCTGTGAATCAGATGAGCCACAGTCAAGACCCGGGTAGATGAAGCTTAGTAAGGGGCAGTCCCAGCCGGAACTAGTTGCGGCTATTTGCCTTTCTAGTTCTCGAAGCATGGTTCTGGGATCATTTTTGTACCGATCGGTTTTGAGCAAGTGTCTCAGATGTGAGTGGGGCATGGGACACTCCGAGGCTTGCCGGGCGGATGATGCCCTGGCGCTAAGCTACGTGAACCGCCCAATGTACGCGGAGCTGCTGCAGCCCTGCGTCTGGAGACTTGGACGTTCTGGAGATTTTCTGGCAGCCAGATATCGGCAATGTTGACCACTTTGAAGCCATGGGAAGCCATTGTTTTTTGGTATTTGCAGGGGAATCATCAGAAACCAGGGTTTCCTAGGTGGTGCAGAATGTTGCTCACCCACAGTGGGAATCAACCCCAGTTTATTCATAGGGGCGTGCTTTTCCCTGGGTGACATGTGGGGAATCAGACCACTTTTGGAGGGGAACACCCCCACCCCCACCCCCCCTTTAATTAAAGTAAACTGGGCTAAGACCCCACAAAATGAGCAGTTTCCTTCTGGTGTGCGTTGAAACTGCCAAAGATGCCCTTAAAAAAGAGAGAGAGAGAGAGACCTGTATGCACTGAAGGGGCACGAGGTAGTTCATGACTGTGAATCTGAGGCGAAGATACCTGGTGGGATCCTTGTCCGAGTTGGCTCGGCCAGTGCTCGCAGACGCTGGGACAGGTGAGGTCTTGACGGGGGCTTTGGTCCACCCTGAGAACTACCGGGCCATTGTGGCCGCCTTGCGACAGCCGGGCTGGTTCCGGCACTACCAGGGCCTGAAACGCCTGGCCACCCAGGGTGAGTTGAGCCGTTCCTTCAGCTCCGCCGCGCTGGCGGAGCTTCGCAGAGACCTGCGCGCGCAGGCCATTGGCCGGCAGCTGCAGGCGGAAGTTTTTGTGTGTGTTTTTTTGTTTTCTGGGTACTGTTATGTTTGTTTGTGTGTTGCTCAAGAATGGGAAGCCAAAAGAAGCGATGACATTTTTGTTGGGTCCAACCTTTAAAAAGACAACGCCCAGGCGCGCTGCCGGCACCCGAAGGCGGCGCCGCGGCGCGCGTCCTCGGGGGCGCCGGCCACGCCGCCGCGGACCCCTCCGCGCCGGGCGCGGCGCGAGGCCCCGACGCCGCCGCGGGTGGTGCGCCCCAGCCGCTCGCGGCCGGCCACGCCCGGGCGGAAGGCCAAGGCGGCGAAGACGGCGGCGCCAGTTGCGATGCGTCCTTCGGTGGCCGAGGCCTGTCGACTCATCCAAGAGGCGCAGGCGCGCAGGGAGAGGTCCTCAAGCGTGTCGTCAACTTCCTCGTCGTCGTCCTCATCCTCATCCAGCTCATCCAAACGAAGGGTGCCGCTGAGCACCTCCTCGCGGCTCCTCGCCCTTAACCAGGTGTTTTCTTTGGGCTCTTGGGAAGGGTGCGCGCAGGTCCATGTCAGGATCGGTATTTGCGCCATTGCGCCAAGCAACTTGCTCTATTGGTGAGCAACCTCTCCATTTCTGAATGCTAGCTTCGCGGGTGAGGCCCATCAATCGGCGTTTTTCCTACACAGTAGAGGGTGACTATTGACCGTTGCTCAGACTCGTGATTGGTTTTATTGCGGGTTGTGCCCGCCAACACGGTCGGTGCAAATAACATACGCAACTTATGTCCACCAACGAGTCCCCAATCAAGCTTCAAGGGTGTTGTTCTCTACTCACAGAGAACGGATTGCGCTCAGGCAAGGGAGCGCGTCAGCATGTCAAGGACATTGCACCTGGCCGGACGGAGCTTCCTACACAGGCGAGCGGTGTCAATTGCAGCCAGTTCTGATTGAATATTCCAGTCATGCCGCTTTTGCAAGCTGAATGGAACTTGAGGCCTGCAGTCATGTATTGTTTGCGGCAACGTCCCCTCACCACGGCTTGGATTTTGGGGGATGACCCGCTTGGGTTGGGGGCTCTCGCCACTTGTGGTTGGTTGTGAGCGGTTCGCTCGCTTGTGGTCGGCGTCGCAGTCGCCGGGTTCAAAATAGGAATTGGTCCCCTTGAGTGGCGACGGTTTCCTTTTGTTCCCTGACTTCAAGTGAAGCTTGTTTAAGTTTGTTTTTCTTGATTTAAAACATATGTAACATACTAATCTTACAAGACAACCGCAAAAGGCATGGTTTACCTGTTGAGAAGCCATGCTTCTCCCAGGGGGCCTCCTGCGGGGTGTACCCCACGGCTCCGGCCTGCTGCGGACTTCGGGCGAGACCTACGAGGGCGAGTTCCAGCACGGCCTGGCGCACGGACGCGGGGTGCACCTCAGAAGCTCCAAGGGCCGGGCGGCGGCCCCGGCGCGCTACGAGGGCGCCTGGAAGGAGTGCGAAACGCTTGAGGATTTTGAGAATTTTGAGGTCCAAAAAAAAGGGGCCAACGTTGGCATCCAATGAAGATAGAGGGTTGATTCCCATTTTCAGATGTGAACGTGGGTGGCGAAGTTCCGCGTGTTTTTGAGGCGCCTTTTTGAGCATCACTCATTGGATCAATGCGGCACGCCAAGTCCCTAGGATGCGGATGACCCCTGAAATGGCAGCATGTTCCTTTGATTTTGCTTTACAAACCAACCAAAAGGAGGCCATCCTTGGAACAAGTTTGCAGATTAACTAGCACGGAACCCAAAGAACCATCCCTAGAGGAAGCTTTGGGTGGACTCCCTTTTGGATTCCATCTGAATCCGGGGATCATGTTTTGGGACCCCCCAAAAACCGAACAGCACGACGATCGCGCTCGCTCGCGCTCGCGAGCCGCGAGGATGGCAAGCGCCATGGCAAGGGCTCCATGCAGCTTCCGGATGGCCGATCCTTCACGGGGACCTTCTGCAACGGCAAGGCGAGGCCGCGATCGACGCCGCGCTGGAGCGATCTTTGTTGGGCATGTCAATCTGCCGAATAAACTGGACCTAGGTATCTGCGCAAATTGTGGCGATGTTGCTAGGGTGTTGCGACGCTACCCAGAGTTAAGCATCCTTTCTCGTGCTGATGTTTGGTTGGGGAGATCAATTCTGGGTCTCGATTCTGAACTTTTATAAGACATTTCATGGGTGGTGGACTTGCAGATGAAGTCCACAGGTCCTCTAAGAATCGATGCATCGGCACCGCGTGCTTTGAAGCAGGCCACCGGTCATTGCATGCTTCGGTGCCTGTCTCAGAACCGGGCCGCGTTTTGGGGAGGGAACCGGGTGCAACAGGAGCGGTTTGGGATTCCAGACGCCTTCAATGGATGGTGTTGATTGTGAACCTTGTGGGGAAGTGCATATTTTGTAGATCCGCGAATAAGCTCCCTCAATACCACATGGATATGTCTTATGAGTGGGTTTCCTTTGGTCTTGCAAGCCAACCGGCAGAAGGGAACCGAGCCTCAAGCAACCACACCCAGAAGCCACCAAATTGGTTGCACCCTTTTGGTTTCCCTTTGAACCAACCTGAATTGGGAATCCTTTGCCGCAAGCCCCGTGGGTGCGGCTCAAAGAAGAGCTAGGGCAAGCCGGTCTTCGTCTGTGCCATTTGCCAAGATGCCGATTTTTTCCAGGAGTTGATTCCTTGTCCATTCTTTGAAAAACCAGCGTTCTTTTCAAGAACCAGCTCTTTTTTTCTGGGGTTCTGATGGCTTTCTGAAAAGAAGGATCCCTGGAAACAATGGTGAAGGTACTCCCTAGATTTCCCTTTGCGTACCAAAGGCTGCTACAATGGCGGGAACTGAAGCCAACATCGGCTGGACTTAAAGGGAAGGGGAAGTGTCCCCTAGAATTTGGGAACATTTCTTTGAGCCTCAAACTCTGCGTGCCCGGATTTCGCGCGATGTTTTGCTCGAGGTCAGCCAGCGGGGCGCTGCTGTTCGAAGGTGAAGTGCCGCTGCGCATTCAGCGCCAAGAGGCAGAGGCAGTGGTGGGCCGGAGGTGAATCTGCGCGGCCGGGCGGCCTTTTTCCACGTGCCCTATATGTCTCCTTTGAAACTGGGGTTTAAAGATCGCACCTTTTGCCATTTGTTTCAGAGAGTCTGATAGAGGTGATACTGTGGATGGACGAAATCCTGCACCACCTAAGAAACCCGGGGATAATGATTGCCCTGTAAATACCATCAAACGTTATGGTTTCAACCGTGGTTTCAAAGTGGTGCGAAATGGATTTCGTCCCACAGTATGGAAGCCCAGGCCAGGCTGTGAGTATCCGCTCTTGGCACGAGATGGGATCGGGGGGTCATTCCAGTTTTCGTGGGGGTTCATCCAGCCCAATCGGTGTGAAATGGGATTTTGAGTTCCGCAGCACATGTTTCCAAAAAGACCCCTTATCGGAGTTTGGGTGTTTTTTTCTGGCTCCAGTGCTTGAGTCTGGCTGCCAAAGCGGCGCCGGGCTGGGAAGTGCACTGAGCGAGTGTTTGGTTTCAGGGGTTCAAGGAGGAGGCCATTTCGATTTGCCTAAACTCACTCAGAGAGTTGGCCGCAGTGTTTAGGAAGATCGACCAATGGCCTTTTCCGTCCGGGGATGGGTTCCTGCCTTTGGGGCTTGGGGTCTTGCGAACTGAAGCGGGAGCTGTGAAGGTCGCCGGAAGAAAAATGCGAGAGCTGCCTTGGGTCTTCGTTGCCACTCCACTCCACCAGGGCTTCTGCTTAATCCAGGGTCCCATCGTTTCGTCTCCTGTGACCCCTCCTAGCGCGAAATCCAGGTTCCCATCGTTTCGTCTCCTGTGACCCCTCCTAGCCCGAAATCAGCAAGAGGGTTGCCCCCAAAGACAAACGGGTGGCTGGTGTTTTTTGAGGATATCCCCTTTTGGAGTGTTTCAAAAGAGAAGCAGAAAGGAAGTCCACCAGTTGTTGTAGTCTAAATCCTATTCTAAGACATACCCACATCCAGTCACCTTTTGCACACCGAACAATGGAGAAGCTATCAAAACAAATTGTTGGCCAGCTTTGTAAGGGGTTCTACCTGGCTGGTCTGGATTAGAGAGGGCCCAACCAAACATCAACCCAGGACCCCTACAACACCTGTCATGTTTGGGAACTCGAAAAGCCATTCTGGTCCTACTGTCGATGGGACAAACTCCTGCACCACTTTCAAACCATGGTTGAAACCATTGTTTGTTGGTATTTGCCGGGGAATCATTAGACACCAGGGGCTTCTGAACGGATTTCGTCCATCCCCGGACACCCTTCGAGCCGAGGCCGACCACATGCCTTCTTCGGCGCCCGAGGAATCCGCACGGAAGAGATCCGGAGGGGGTTTCTTGTGTTTTGTTTTCCCTGTGGTTCGAACCACCGGGTATGTTTTTGTTTTTTCCGAAATGTTGGAAACCACCGCATTCAAGTTCTTCGCGGAATTTCAGAGATAAGTATATTTGGGCTCCTTTGTTTGACATGTGCTCTTGCCCCACCGTTGCTGGTCGTTTTTGTTTACTTTGTCGCAGTGTGGAATGTAGCTATTCCCACCCTCGCTGTGTAAAAGCTCAGGAATCCCCATCCACCGTTTCCCTTCGGGGCTCCAATCCAAGCCTCGAGAAATCGGAAGCCGCCGCTCCGGAAGGGAGCCGCAACTTAACTTCGGAGCTCACTGGAGCCACGGCTTTCAGAAACCAGGAACCCATCTAGGTCCCCCAGTAGTGCCCTTGTACCCTTTTTTGGGGTACCCTTATTCTAACCTCTCTGCTGGAGGACCTAGCCATCCTTTTTGCTTTGCATCCTTCCACTTGGAGACGCCGAAAAGGCCAAGTGATATCCCCAGTCACAACCCTTGACCAGGCCGATGGGATTGGCTTGCATATGCCAAAAGCGCGAAGGGCGAAATAGCCGCCATTGGGCCTGGGTTGGCCTGCCACAACATCACCTTGTGAGCTTAGGCGAGTTTGCTTTTTGCTCAAAGGAATGGCGATGTCTGCCCCCTCGCGCGATAGGACCAAGCTGCCATGCTGGGCATTGGGGAGCTCGAGCGGCTAGCTTCAAGGCGTGCTGGTCCATTGAGCGCCTCCCGTGCACGGACAAAAACCAAATTCAGTTTTTTCTCCCTAAACCGGGGATGGACAAACCCCCGGACTTGTCGATCACCCCACTCCCTGGTGCGAAACGGATTTTGGCCAGGGATGGTCAAGATCCACGAAGAGGTTAAGGGAACCACCAGGGTTCCATGGCGGTTGCATCCACTTCCTCGAGCTTTTCGGGCAAGGTTGACACCCCAGGCGCAAGTTCCGCCCGTGTAACTCTTTGCATCTTTCATCGTGCTTCCAGGATTCCACACCAGGCTCTGATTTTTATGCCATCCATCCAGATGGTATCTTGATTCAGCTACGCTTGCGGCGGTGGTCTTTTTGTATGTTCCTCTCTTTTGTGTTGGAGGGGACGCTGACCCCAGCCCCGCGAAACCGAACTCCAAGCTGGGCGTTCTGCGGGCAGCTGACATGGGCGTGGCTCAAAATGTTCACCAGGAGGGGCAAACCGCAGGTGTTGGTCCATGTTTCTACCTCCCAGGGTTGGATTTTGGAGTTCCGGCTTTTTGGTTTTGGTACTTTCCAGGGAATTTCCACCTGCCGATCGGGCAGCCCATGTTGGAATTCCGGTTTTTTGGGGCAGCCCACGGCCGCATCTTGAGCCTTCCGAAAGGTTGGGCTGCAGCCAGTCCGCGATTCTGCAAGCCGCTGGCATCGATGTCTCGGTGGTTGCTGCGCTGCCCGAGGCGCGGGGGGAGTCGGGGGAGGCGGGTGAGGCGGCCATTGGATTCGGGTCTTAGCATGTTTTCGGGGTGGCTTGAGGAGGCTGAAGGTGTATCTTGCTTGTTTTCTTGGGTGTGTGGGTTTTTTTTTGGGAGTGGTTTGAGGAACTAAGGGAAAGCTACAGGGAAGCCAAAGCCCATGGCGAAGTTGCCACCCCGTCGGGTGGATCGAATTGTGACCATCGGGTGTTCAAGCCATTTACTTCCTTTCGCGTTTCAGAAGATTCGTTTTATGTGTTAGTGTTCCCCTTGGCTTTAAAGGGACTCTATCACTACTGGAAATATGTGTTTTTCGGTGGGTAACGGGACACCAAGAAGGAGGTTGTTGAGCTAGGTGTTTCGACCCTGTTTTTTGCAGGCGGAACCAAAGCGCCACTCAAGGGTTTGGGGCGCAGTGGCAAACAGTTTGGACGCCCGGAAACGAGTTCCGCAGGGCGAATCTGGGAGTCTCACTTCGGCCAGAACTCATTGGTACAGATTGGGGTTTTACATGAACCAAAACCTGCGGTTCAAGGTACCCTGGATCGGACGTCGGCTTGAAATTTGACCAAAGCCCAAGTATGCCTTGCAGGGACCCGAACTCAAAGGCGCCGGCAGAGACCCCGCGGCTTTCAGCGATTTGGGAAAGCCGGTGTTGATTTTTGACTCGAGTGGAACCTTCTCCCAGTGCGTCCATCGTTTTTGTCATTCCTAGAATTGCTGTTTGTACGTTTTGTGCCATCTATATATATATACAGGTGTTTGGAGGGGTTGCCCTCAAAGTTCAGGGCTTGCCGGGCTTGCCACCATTTGGGTCTGCAGTTGTTGGAGGGTGCTCCTTTCTTGGTCCGAAAGGGAAACCAAGAGGAAGCCACATTTTGGGTCCCCGAAAGAAAGGCACCTATTTCAAATTCGGAAACCAAGGGATCCAAGCAAAAAGCCGAATGAGACCCGATCCGATTCCCTCAGGACTTCGATTTGTCCGTTCAACGGCACCTGCGTAATCCAACCGTTTGGTCCGTTTTTGGTTGGGTCATTTGTCAGTTTTTTTTGGAAGGGACATAGGACTCACCAGACGTCAATACGGACTAAGGACACACTAGCATCACTAAAGTGTCCCAAAGAAAGCAGGGCTCACAAGCTTTCTCTTTTTGTTGCAATTGGGGATATTTTGGCAACCAACGCTTTTTATTGCAATTGGGAATATTTGAGTGACCAAACGCATTGTTCGACCGCACTCACATAGCTCGCTCCGTGTGAGGACATGCGGGCCTCTGTGGTCATGGCCGAGGTATCGCAAGTGAGCGCGGGAGCCCAGAAAATTTGAGCGGCCTGTCTTTTTAAAAAGAAAGAAACAAACAACACACACACACACACACACTAGTGTCCTAAGTAAGCAGGGCTCCTTAAAAGATACATCTTGCGCATTTGAAACATGGCTTTTTTCACCAAAGTAAAGGGACACCGCCATTTGCAAGGCAACGTTCAGGTGTATAATGTAAGCCAGCGGATCCCACCCACCCACCCACCCACCCACCCACCCACCCACCCACCCACCCACCCACCCACCCACCCACCCACCCACCCACCCACCCACCCACCCACCCACCCACCCACCCACCCACCCACCCACCCACCCACCCACCCACCCCCACCCACCCACCCACCCACCCACCCACCCACACCACCCACTCACCCACTCACCCACTCACCCACTCACCCACTCACCCACCCACCCACTCACCCACCCACCCACCCACCCACCCACCCACCCACTCACCCACTCACCCACTCACCCACTCACCCACCCACCCACCCACCCACCCAACCCACCCAGCTGACCATAGGCAACCACTCACTTCCCTATTTGCCTGTCAAGGGCTCCAGCGGATCCCTTCGACGCTCGTTTGGGGTCCTGGTGTAGCCCGTTTTTAGGGACCGCCTCCTTTCCGAAGGTCGAAGGATTCCGTGGTCCAACAACTTGCTGGTGGCGTTCAATGACTCAACTGGTGGCTTCCTAGGGCACCAAAGCCTGGGTTCGCAGCAGCAAGAAAATGGCGCATGACTCTATTTGCTTTTTCAAGGGAGGCAAGCCCTTGGCAACCATGGACCAAAACAGGGAAATGGACGATTTTGTACCCTCCCCAATTAACATGGGACCTGTCCTTCAGTGAATTCAGGGGTCCTGGTTTGGACCACTTTTCTTTTAAAGGGACCCCCGAACGTCAGGCTCCATGTAAAGAACGGTGGGAGGGTGTGCCGTTTGACACAACTCTGTGCCGTGAGTCACTGCGCTGAGACCTGGACCACCTGCGAAGCGCGACGGCCGAAAGCTCGATGAGCCGGTGCGTTTTTGTGTCCCTGTTGTTTTTCTTTTTTTCTTTTTTTCTGAGAGGCAGAGCAATGTCCACCAAAGGACCCCCCAGTTTTTTTTAGTACAGATGTTTTCGAGCAGAAATAGAGGCGACCTGCTCTAATCCCTTGGGTGGACCTGAGAAAAGCTGTTCATCCCAACGGGTACGAAAATGGAGTTTGTTCACCAAGGAGAATTGCAAGCTAGCTTAAAAAAGTTTCTCCATGCTTTTTCCCCTAATTCACAACCCATTTGTTTGGGGTCTCCTGTTTGGAGAGTTTCTCATGCCAAAGGATTTTTTGGTCGCGGCCGCTGCAAGGCCACCCATGACGCTCCAGAGGTCCGCGTCGGCAGGGGCTCAAAGTTATAGGGGCTGAACACGGTAGCCTCAAGAAGTGTAAGCCCCATGTTGGTGAGCACCCCGAAGACTTTGGTGAGCACATGAAAGAGTTTTTGATCTTGGTGGGTGGGATGGGTGGCTTTTGGAATTTGAACCCCTGGTTCTTGTAGAAGGTAAGTGCTAAACCACTGCCGGAACACCAAACCACCGCCAGGCGACCACTGAGATAGCCTCAGCCTCGGCGTCGCCCCGTTGGGTTGATACGCCCGGTACGCAGGGCTGATACCCGAGTTTCCCCTTTCATTTCCCTTGACAGGTACAAAAAAAAACTGGTGCCCTCAAAAAACAAAACAAAAAAGAACACCAGGGACCATATCAAATGTACCCACTGACGGACCAGATCCAAAAGACCGAGAATCGACGTCCTTGGATTCGCCGGGAAATGGGACCGGCACCCAGATGAGAACCGCCGCAGCCCTTCAGGAAGGGCTCCACTGAGATCCAGGGTGGACATTTAACTCCATTTTAAAAAGTGGTTTTGAGTATGATCCTGGAAGGGTCATCTATGGGCGAAACCGTTTGCCCTTGTGATGCCCATGTGTTTACTCCCATGCCAGGTTCTGATTATCCACCAAACCACTATCCAAAACCGGTTAGATAGTTGTATACCGTAACCCTTTTTATAGTGGCTATATAGTGGGCATACAGTGGTATATCGCATGAGCCTGCTGGGGATAGCGCTTTAAAAGTAGACACCCATCCAACTGGTTCAACGCATCCGGACGAGGATGCCGTGGTACTGGAAGCGCTCCCGCCGGACATTCGGGAAGAGGCGCGCGGCGTCGCTTGGCTCCCTACGGCACCCCATATAACTCCAGGGCGAAAGTAGATGGCGCAATTTTAGACATGTGAGTAGGTAAAGGGATGACCAAACCGACGTTCGTGCCAATCCTGGGTGATGGGTAATCATTGGGCTTGCATGTACCCAAGGTGTGGCCCTGTGTCTGTCCCAACATCCTATTGGATTTGATCAGTTGCTTACCCGTTGAACTCGGTTAATTCTTGTTTGTTTGTCAACATTTGATTGAGGGTCATGACAGCAGGCCCCCCCCTCTCCCCCCTTTTGGCCGCCAGAGGTTTCCCTATACTGCGCAAAACACGGCAATTGACTGATCGAGTGTGACCCCCAAGCCGATCGAGTGCGAAAATCGGGGCTATCACTATCACCTCAGCATTTCCAGTAGGTCAAAAGCCCCAAAACCGCCACCTTTTTTTGTTACACCATTCAGGGCATCCCATATGTTCACCGTGGCTCATGCGTTGCATGCCTTATTGACAGGTGCTAAGAGAAGAGGCGGTGCGTCGGCGAGAGCAGCAAGCACAGGCCGTCGGAGACGTTACTTTCTTCACACACCAATGGAGATTTGTTCCTCCAGATGGTTTCAGCAATTTGTTCAGTCCTAAGACAGATGGTGAGGTAACCGCGGCAAATGTTGGGTAACAATGCTGCAGAAAGGCTGGTGCCCTGCGTCACATTGTAGAAAGGCTGGCGCCCTACGACACCCGTGCCATGCTGAAAGGCAGCTGCCAAATGTGAGGCAACGCCATGAAGAAGCAGAAAGGCTGCATGCACCGTCACGTAAGTCATTCATATGTAGATCCAAAGTCCAAGGGTTTTGGCGCAGAAAAAACAACAAAAACAAAAAACAACAACCCTGCGATCCAAGGTCAGCAGGGCGATCTGCTGTTGATATTCTTGTTTTCCCTCTTGTTCCGAGGTATTTGTGTCATTGCTGTTGATTGTGTTCTTGTTCTCGTCTTGTTTTTTTGATGCTTTTGCTTTTGTTCTTGTGTTGCTTCTTGTGCTTCTTACTGTTCTTGATTTCTTTCTCGTTCTTGCTCTTGCTCTCCTGGTTGCTGTTCTTGTTTGTTTGGCGCGCTCATTTTGGCGGGTTTTGTGATGTTACACATGTCGACGCATCGTCTGGATCTGTGTGGGGTGGGTTGGGTTGGGTTGGGTTGGGTGTGGTGGGGCGGGGGGAGGAACGGATCCTGCAATTCCCTGTATGCGTTGTAGTGGGGGGCACGTGTCGATATGTTCTGGTGGTTTTGACAAAGGGGTGATCGTGTTTTGTTTTGTGACGTTTCGCTTCTGCTTCACAGGGATCCATGTACACACACGACTCTGCAACTCTGCTCACGCCTGGCTGCCTTGCACGCAATGCTGCTCATTCGCCTTGCTCACTTGACACTGACAGTTTTACATATGTTAATGCTTTACCTGACACTGGCCTTGATTCGGGCGGCATAACGGCAGAGCGTCCACAGTCAGCACATCAACCGGGGAACGCTCGTTGGCGAGGAGCTAAGGCACCTCCAGTCAATCTAGCCGTTAATAAAGGACCTCTTCACGCCCTTATCACAGTGAATGTTTGCCAGCCCCTTCCCAGATCCTCCAGCTTGAATCAGATAACACGGCCGTGCAATCTTGCGCCAACCAAGGTTGCGGCTTTCTTTGCGGTTGGCTTTGTGTTAGTCGCTGCCATTGCCCTGGGCTCTTGAGGTTTGGGTCGCGGTTCGGGTCGTTGGCATTGGTGGTGCTGGGGTGGCAGCAGTGCTATTTCTTACTTGGTCGCAGTCATCAGATATTCTTCTCTGAGTGAGGAACCAAACAAGATGAGAGGATGGCCCGGACTTTCTGGGATCTCTGAAAATTGTCGGTACTTGGGTGTTCGACTAACTTAGCAAGTGGGTGGTAACCTGGATTATAACCCACTTATAGGTTCCCCGTTCGGTGGAGTTTGCGGGTGACCCGGCTGGCCACTTTCTAACTTGGCAAATCGAAGATCCAAGCGGATTTCCAAGTCCGTCAGGCCGCAAGGGCAGCTCCAAGTAGCGCCCTCAGAGGATCTAGGGGACAGTTTGCCATCCGGCGATCTCCGACCTTTGGATCCTTTGCCTTGAGGGTTTGGGCTAGACCTCTCGAACTCCAGGCTTTGATTGTGACTCATTTGGGTTTGTTTCAGTGAGCCGTGAACCAAGACTGATGGCTTTCCCTAGCTTTGCGTAGACCCATTTGGGTGCACCGCACATTGCAACGAGTTCGTGGGTTCGTGGGTTCGTGGGTTCGTGGGTTCGTGCTCGCCAAGCCGCTGTTTGGCTCTAGTTCCAAGACTCAGATTCGGTCCAATGTCCGCAGGCACTGACTCAGGCACTGTACATTGGCTTTGGAAGTGCCAGAGTTCTGACTTGCTGTCTGATGTGTTTGAGCCGAAGAGTTTGAGCAGTTTCGCCAAGCTTCAACAACAATCCATGGGATGCAACAGCCCTGCTATCACAAGAGCTCAAGCTGTCCGTGTCAGCAGGCGAGCCCCTGACGCTTGCGCAAGTCTACGAAGAGTTCTTCGGGGTGAAGGTGACAAACACCTTCCTGAGTCTCCCCATAGAGGATGCGTCAGGCCGCTCGGTTCTATTTCGATCTTTTGGAAATGCGAGCACATTTCCTCCAATCTTCCATGTGTGTAAAACATTGGCGACCCCTACAAGTGCTCAAATGACCCCAAGCAGTCTAAAGTAGGAACTCGAGTGAGACTCATTTGAGGTCTGGTCCGAAAAAAAAGGTCCTCATTTGAAGTTATGTCATGTCCGGGGATGCCAGCTTTCTGGGCCCCAGCCGGGCCCCAACCCAGAAGGTTCACAGGGGGTCGCGCGCGCCAGAGGCCCCGGGTCGCGCGCCAGAAGGCCCGAAAACCAAAGCGAAAAAAGCAAGGACCGCGCAGCACACGAGCCGGCCGTAGAACAACAGCCCAACGCTCAGCATAGCAGTTTTTGACGGTATCTACGGCGTTTTGTAGAGCAAGGGCCCAGCATCGCGCTTGGCACCAAAATGCGCGAAAATGAGCCTTGCTTATATCCTGTCACAACCTTCTAAAAAACAGTGCTTCATGGGTTGAGAGGCTTTTTGGAAGGAAATCTCGATGATGCAGATCCAGCCTTGCTGAAGCATCACCCAAGCCCAACCCACATCCTGATGATGTCAGCCGGCCAAAACCCTGCAAATAAGCGATGTTTTGCCCGAGCTGGTGATGCAGTGGTGCTGGATTTAGGCACCGCATCACGACCAAGTGATGAGGGTCGGCGGCGCGCGGGTGCAGCCCCCATGGTGTGTAGGCGATCAAAGCAGGCCTTTACCGCCACAGCTTGAAACTGGCAGCTGGCTTCCGCGTCTCCTGGCTGCGAGTGCGAATTCAGCCTTGCAGCGCAACCGGGTCGATCTTGTGTGCATTTTCTCGGAATGCGCCTTCAGCTTCCAGGGCTTTCCATTCTGCTCAGGTTCGGTCAAGATGGGGAAGTCCAGTGACCATGCACCTAAAGCCAGAGGCACCTCCGTCTGCATGCTCATAAACCGGGCCGTGCACCTTGAGGCCTGGTCTCACTCACTTGCTGCAACTTGTTGTTTGCGATCAGCACTCCATCATTAAATGTCATTTGGGTGTGCCGCGCGGTGGGCACCCTGCTGGTCCACGTGCACTGCCGACACCTGACAGACCCACGATATGAGCTCCAGTAGTACGCGTCTGTCTGCTCCTCCAGGAAGTCCACACTCAGTGCTGAATAGCCTGAACAACGCGCAGATTTTCGGACTTCTTGGACGACTTGGTCTCGGCAGGTCCAAGTCCGTCCACATGTCGGAGGGCTCTCTTCAGGCCTTCAGGCCTGCGTCACTCTCAGCTCGCACCCCTCCAACTTCTGCCAGGAGCCTTTCCTGGCGAGCACTTTGCGATCTCCTGGCTTGACATCTTAAAACCCTTCAAATCTTAAATGCCTCAGAATCTTAAAATCTTAACATCTCAAAAGCTTAATCATGGACTGGCAGTAGGTGGGTGGGTGGGTGGGTGCAGGAACGGGCCTGGAGGGGTCGGGCTCTCGTTGGCCGGCTGTAGCGCGTAGCGTGTAAATCCGGCATGCTAGTGGTTCAGAGGATCTTGCGCCTCCACAACCAAAGCCCGTCCGCCATGTTGAAGATGTGGCGCTGCTTGAAGCTCCTTCCACAACTAAAGCACTGTTGGATTCGTTTGCCGGCAGGGCAGGACGCACTTCCTGGTGTCTCATGAGCAACTGCTTCTGGTCGCCTTCGCCAACTTTTTCTACGTGTGGCTCGCCCTCCACGCGGGCCAGCGCGCGCTCGTAATCCACGAACTGGGCGATTGGGGGACTGGCAATGCTTGCCGGTCCCACACATTGAGTGGTCAGACGAATCCCACATTCCCTACGGTAGATAGAACACTGCCTGGAAAAAGTTTGTGGAGCAATCTCCAGCCGCGTTGTCGCCCATCCCAGACAGTCTCCCCTCTCTCGCAGCTTGGTTCCGACACACCGTGTCGATCATGTTCATGTTCCGAAATGTGTAGAGCGCGTTGTACGAGAGACTTGCAGTTCTCCAACCTCGGTGTTCTCTTCTCCAAGTCGCAGGTGTCAACAGTGGAGTTGAAGAGTGGTACAGGAGGCCATGGATATCTTTTCGGCTGTTGTCAACAAACGCTGTTTCATTGATCACAGACGAGGACCGGGTTGTGTTGCCTGCGCGCCATGAATTGGACTGGGATGCTTCCGCAGCCGAAAGGTACGCCAAGCAGGTCGCGAAGCACACGCTGCTGGAGAGACGAAGGCTGAGTACGTTGCCCTAGTCTGGATGAACGCAAGACAGCAAACATGCCGTTTCTTGAAGCTGTCATGAAGACAGACGCCGCCACCCCGCCCGAGCGATGATAGGCTTTGGGAACGGTTGTGGAGGTTGGCGTCTGGTTGCTCGCATGTTGTGCTATTCTGCGCGCCTTCGACACCGCCGCGTGTGATGATGACGCGCGCGCCTATGGACTCAGGCGCAAGCATCCTTTCCAGTCATACAGCAGCCTGACGTATTGCACGTCGCTGCAGAGCTGAGCAGGGAGGAAAATGCAAGCGAGAGCTCGCAAAAGAAGACACGAAGGCTGCTGCAGGCTGTTGCTACTGCCGCATGCATCGCTGGCTGGGCGCCTAGTGCAGTCGAGCCAGACGTCCGGAGCGTGTACCCGCGAATTGAAGGGGCATGGGATGCGCAGGCGGCCTGGCTCGCGCTGCTGCTGCGCGGGAAGGTGCTCGGCCGGACTTGCTTCAAGGGCAGCTCCTTCAGGAGCTGCGCGTGACTGCCCTTGCTTTTCGAGTCCGCGCTGTGCTCCGGCGTGGCTGCCTGCTGGGAGGGGGAGCCGTAGCCCTATCTCACTTTCTGGTGATCCCGCTTTCAGTCGTATTCTGAGGAAAGCCTGGAAGCCGTGCAGGTCGCCTGTACATAGCTCTGTGCCGCAGGGGCAAACCTTGCCAGGCTCGCTGGCAGTTTTTCCCTGTCTTGGCGGTTTTTCTCTCCACTGCATTGCAGGCATGCCGTTGTGCAGAATTTTCTTTCCGATTCGGCGGAATTGTGCAGCGGGCTTTCCCAGACCCTCTAGGCGGTCACGAGTATACTTGCGCATCGCCTATCTACAACGACCTGTTGGATGATGATGATGACGATGATGGCACCCTTCCCATGCGCCTTGCTCTTGCAAACAAGGGGTTGGCGGACATACAAGTCCCCAGCCTCATCAGGAAAGCCAATAGTGTCACCAGGACTCGCGGAGCACGTGTGACACCCCTAGACCAGGAGCTCCTGGCATTAAGGTGCCTCACGCAGCAATTGTTCGTTCAGCAGCTCGCGCGCATCACCGGCGCCGCAACCGCCCAACGTCACATTTGGCGTGATGACTGTTATCATCCGCGCCATCACAGTTATCGTCGCAACACCCTCTGCGCCCCTAGCTGTGCCTTGACAACTATTATCGTAGCATTCCTTGCGTTGCACGTGGAGAAACACAGACAGGATAGATCGCAAGATGATATCGGCGTGAGGATGGTTATCGTCCAAGCCCTCATGAGTATCGTCGCAGCATCGTCTGCATCTCCAGCTGTGCCTTGATAACTATCACCCACGCCTTGGCGTGATGATTGTTATTATCCGTGTCATCACAACTATCAGCGCAACATCCTCTGCGTGTCTAGCTGTGCCTTGCTCACTATCATCGTAGCACCTCTTGCATTGCAAGTGGTGTCTAGCGTCCTTTTTTTATTTTCTACATGGAGAAACACAGAAAGGATAGATCGCAAGATGATATCGTGGTGATGATGGTAATCGTCGACGTCTTCATGACTATCAGCGCAACATCCCCTGCATCTCCAGCTGCGCCCTGATGACTATCATCGACGCCTTGGCGTGATGATTGTTGTCATCCACATCATCACAATTCTCAGCGCAACATCCTCATGTCTAGCCGTGCCTTGATAACTATCATCATAGTATCCCTCGCATTGCAAGTGGTGTCTAACGTCCCGTTTGATTTCTATATAAGAAATACAGGGTAGATCGCAAGCTGATGTCGGCGTGATGATGGTTATCGTCCACGTCCTCATGACTATCATCGCAACATCCTCTGCGTCTCCAGCTGCGCCTTGATAACTATCACCGTAGCATCGGCGAAGATGATGATGCTGAGCACCATGATGATGATGATGATGCTGAATGATGCTGAATGATGATGAACCGATATGCCAATCATCACTATGCGTCCTCAGCATCGCCAGCCGTCGTGATGGTTTGCATGTCCAAGCATCTTTTGCTTCTCAAATCGGATGATAATCATCCCTGCGCAACGATGATGAGAAGTATCATCATAACATCCGCAGCATCTCCAACGATGTCGATGATAAGTATCATCGTAGCACCCCTTGCATCTCCAATAGTGGATGATGATGCCGATGACAACGGTGATAATGATGATGATGACTATGAGGAAGATGATGGTGATAGCCCGGGTCATCAC